ACCACAACATCAGCTCTCCAAGAGGTCCAGGAAACTGCTGTCAGAGTATAACGCATTTACTCGGTAAGATTTTTCGTTTAGATCGCGTCCGAGACTCAGACATACGGCATTGTCAGACTTAAGATATCAGAATCGGGAAACTCTCATGCTTTCGGCAGCAACGTCCAACTAGATACTCCAGCCCGTATAATGTGTCCTTTCTCAATTGCCCTAGTAATTAATAATTAAGCTTGAGTACCATAAGGATACTATCGGCCATTCGGGTTGCTTTTTGGCCTATCGCGTTGACCCTAAAATTAATCGGAAAGACAACGATGGTAAGCAAACTGGCTCAATGGTGCTCTGGGACGCATACTTACTCCACAGCCTAACTCAAATTTGGATCGCCCCGTTATCTGCCAAGTTGGACATGTTAGCGCCTAGGCAGACTGACCCGCCAATCCAATGTGTTTACTTATGAAATAAAATGTTCGAAGCTGGTGCTCACGCACGCTCAGACAATCACGAAGAAATCACGTTAACTAATTGAAACTTACGTTGGTGACGTTAATACCTGTCACCACAGTACGACGGTCGAATAAAATGGCCTTTTGCCGAAGATGCAGCCCTAGTTTGGATTACTTGCCCTGTCCGATAAAATTACCATTGCCTTCACATCACTGTAGCAGATTTTTGTGACAGCTGTCTTTTCACCCGTATAAACTATAGGTCGCGCTAGATTAAATTCTCCAGACTTTAAATATAGTGAGCACAATGCGGCTATATATGAAATTCGTCTCGGCTTCCGCCATGCCATATTTTCCGTGATTTCATGCATCCCCCCATAGAGAGCGTGCATACTCCGAAACCTGTCAAATCATATCATTGACAGATTGCATCGACAAAAGGGTCAAGAACATCCTAGACTGCCCTATCATTGCAGCCTAACGACGTGGCCCGGTGAAAGCGACCGCGATTGACAGAGTACAAGCGCATCTAGCACGCAACCATCAGATCTAGTTTGATATGATGCAAGCTATTGACGAACACATGAGTTCACACAAAATGGCAAAAGCCCTACTATACGACCCGAGAGCCACCATACGGTGTCAGCGTTCTTGTTTGAGGGATATAAACCCGTACAACGCATGAAAACGTTTACGGTTTAAAATAACGCCTAGCACAGCGGCGCCATTACCATAGTCTGCTTACATTGTTAGCAGTGGCAAGGGGCACAGCCCCTTTTAAAGCACCTCGACGAATAGCTTATCCATCAGAGCCCGCTCTCGTAAGGGATTAAACTGGTTAACCAAGGTCCAACTGTTTCCAGGATTCAACAGCCTATCCTACTTTAAGAGTAACGTGACGGCCTACGCGTGGCCTCACGTGCAACAGATGACTTATAGCAAACTCTCCGACTACGGCAATACTTCCCCGACACAACCCCTACCCCCTGAAGCCGAACAAGTACGGACTTCTGACATATTGAAAGGCCAACGCGTTTCAAATTACATTGTGCATACTCTTCCCAACCAAACAGCTCGCAAACTCACTGAAACTAGTCTGATGATTAAACTGGTAACACCGTCCTGCAGGGCCCAGTCCCCATGCACACGCA